TATATTTAAAAATAGTTATAATATTGAAAATCATAGGTAGTTACACTGTCCGGGTGTATCCTCATGCCAGAAATAGGGCAGTTTCTATGATCAAAAAAGCATAGATCTATAATATCCTATATAGTTATTTCTTACAGATATATTTAAGTCTATGTATTTTGTAACTACAGATAAAAAGGTTATTTAAGTTATCAAAGTCAATTTTCAGGTGTGTAAATATTTATTTTTATTCATGGCTTATTTTGTTTTATTTTTAAAAAATATTGTAGTGTTTTGCAGTGCGTATAACACCATCTCTCTAAGATAACTTGTAAAAGTGGGGAGAGAGAATTGAATTAAAATTAAGGAAGGCCTCTTGACATACAAGAGATATATGTAGTAAAGATTTTTATGTTCCTATGTACAGGTTTTTGTTTTGATGCACATATTTGGGAACTAAGGTAATATTGCCTTATATCCAAGTTAGCCTTAGAAAAGAGAGTTTCAGTGAGAGTGCTGTATTTCAAAATGTGTCATCTGAGTCATAAAACTAAGATAAAAGTGCTGCTCTGCCTGTGTGGGGTTTTGTTTTTGTTGTTTTTTTAACTATGCAGAATGCATTTTTAGGATTATGTTGCTTAAAATACTCAATGTAGTAGTTTTTAATATTTGATTTAAAAAAAAAAAAAAAAAAAAACCCTGAGGAAAAACAGGTGCTGGATGATATACTGCCCTAAGTTCTCTTCTATTTCTCCTCGCTGATAGTCTGAGCTGGTATAAAGGAACATGTATCTAAATAAAACTTCAGTTAGCATCCGACTGATCTTTATTTTGTCTGACATACAGAGTATAAATATGTACTTCTTTTTCAGGAAAGGAAGAAAATAAATTTTTATTTGTACCTTGCCTCCTCTTGTCATGTTCTTTACCCATGCTCTTTAGCTCTCTTGAGACCCCTAATTTGTAAATTGCAGAGGTCTACTACTCCATTCTGTAGTGTGCCTATAAGTTGTACCTATTAAGATTTCCATTTTTGCACAGGTGATTTCCTTATTTCCTTCCTTATTCCTGTAGCACCAAATGCATACTTGATGCTTACCTGATGGAAATTCAAGTTTTCCTTTCTCCCAGTGTTCATCAAAATCAATAAGGATCTTTAGTCTGATGTCTAAAATGTCCCTGAAATGTTAGGGTTAATAAGAGTTCATAATGTAGTGTTACAAAGGGAGAAATGCTATGAAGTGGAGCACTGGATTAGTCTTCCCTTGTCCATCTTCAGAATATCCCTATGTGTACATAAATCAGTTTTATAAAATTCACATTGTTAGCTACTGGTATTTCTTTCTTCAAAACACAAACAAAAAAACTCTAATAGGCCAGAATTGAGCCCACTTTTCTTCCCACTTGCTCTTTTTTTTTAATACCCATTTACTAGGGATCTTGTAGAAAGTGACAGAAATTAATATCAACAATTGTATTTGGTAGCTTATCTGAAGTTAACCCTACTTGGGCTCTAGGCTTATAGAGACTTGCAAGCTAAACCAGGTAAGAAAACCTTCAAGAAAAATCCAGCTGCTGCTGATTCTGTGTTAAGTGCCACTCTTTTCTCCAAGTATGATTCCCTGTATAGGGCTTTTTCACTCGAGCTGCTGGAAGAATCATGTTTTATAGAATTCTGAAGTGAAGGTCATTGTCAGTTTAAGACACTAAAAAGACCATGATTCATTTAAGAAATGTCTATATTGAATTCCAGTTTCTGTATTTGCATTTGGGATCTCAACATTCCTTCCTGAATTTGAATTGGATGTTGTCTTTATTTACTGTTCAACACTATGCAAAGGTAGACTGCATTTCAGCTGTAAAACAATTTTAGCACATAAAAGGCTCAATAACCATGCTTATGTGCAATCCTATCTACTTGTTAAGAGAGTTCCAAGTTTACAGGAGTGTGTATAAGGTGCCTTTGAAATAACATTTCTTGTCTAAATTACTGATAAAGGCAAAAAGGCTTCTGAGTGACTACAAATGTTGGGTTTTTTTGTAAAATGGGCAGACAAAGAGAAGTATAAGACCTATGAGGAAGCATGACTGAGAATATTTTAGAGAGTACATAAAACATGGGAAAATGCTTAAAAATTTCACATCTTCAGAACCTGATACTTGAAAGATGTGAATAAAGTTCTGATAATTCAGTTCTTAATGCTGAGTAAAGGCAATGGTATTCTTTTTTATATAAATGCTTTTCTAATTCATAAAATGAAATATTTGGATTGTATTAATGATGTAGAACAAGTTTTCAATTAGTGCATATTATCCTATTAGCACCACAACCACACACCTTTCTCTGAAAAAGGGCCTATTTTTTACACTAGGAGCTTTGCATACAGAAACAAAATCTGTCTAATCAACTAAGGGAAAGATTCACTTGACATAAGTCAATTTGCTAACAGTCATGTTGTTAACTACAATTGCCACAGTTACAAACTGTGACTTGGTCTTCTGTTAGTCAACAGAACAGTTCTATTGACTTTAAAGGACTGTGGGAATAAGGCATGAAAAACTGAACTGTTTGTGCTTGTAGTGTTTTTCTTTTACACAGTAAGCTCTTAGGGTTTTTCTGTTATTGTATATGGCCAAACATGAATCTGTGAATTGCCATACATACCTACCTGATCATGAGCATGGCTTTAGTTAGGAGTGGCAGTTACCAGAAAAGCTACAATCCTTACAGCCCATGTCAGTTTTGGAGTTTAAATATGGCTGGAAATTTAAAAGCTGGAAAAAAACAGTGATGACAACTACACACTATGCAGTCTTATCTACACACACAGCTTTCGTTGTGATGTTACAGTGTTACACCCTCCTTTTTTTTTGAAGGAGGCTTAAACCAGGACAGCCTTCCTGTACAGGAAGAGGAATAGGAACAACTCAACAAGGCTAGTTCACCTTTATAGTAATATAACTGTGCCCATGAGTGGATCTGGGAGTGCAAGTGGTATAGTACATCCTCATGTATAACAAGGTATCCTTTTCTCTAACTTAAGAGAAACTGGACATTTTACTAATAAGCTAGGGGCAAAGGGCTTTATTTTTTCAGTTTAAGATAAGAGCAAAATAAATAAATATGCCCTTGGAATGTGCATTCATTTGTTATATCATTTGTATAAAAATAATCAAGGTAAGTTACGTCGTTAGTGCTGCAGTCATTAGAATTAAATGGACATATTTTTCAGATTCATAAAACAAAATCTAGCTTCCTTGAGACTCTTGATAGCGTATCCACTGCTTGACTGACTGCTACTTACACACCTGAGTAAATGTTCACCTGTGTTAACACTGTCACACCTGAGTTAATGTTTTTAGCTAGAGTTAAAAACAGTCTGCAGGACAGTGAAATAGGAGATACATTAACAAGAACCATTAACAGAGAGCAAAATTACATAAGAAAGACTAGCTTGCTTGGCTGAACACCAAGACCTTTATAACCGAGAGAGGGTCATTAACACCTGTGGAAGGAAGAATTTAGAAGGAATCAGGTAGATTTGTACATGAAGTCAAACAACTCCCTCAGTGTTGCCTCAATGGAAATGCTGCTGCCACTGCTGGGCAGCTGATTTTTGACGTTGGGTGGAGCAGGAATCAACTGCACACCCACCCAACGCTAGAGCTTTTACTAGGGCAAGGCTCCTTCTGGTGGGGGCGTGCTTTCTTTTGAACCAACAGGTTATTCTGGCAAAACGCCTGGTGCAGGCATACTTAAAGCAGGCGGACATCATGCATTCTGCTGGCCTCCTGGTTTAGTTGGGGGTCCTTGCGACCAGCAGAGATGTGCCGGCAATATATCCAGCTGGTTTTTGCTTCTGCAGCCTTTTTTGTTGAGGTGGGAAAAAACTGTGCCAGCAGCAGGAGCGCTGCTTGGGGTACAAGCTGTGTCTGCTGTAGGGCTGCAGCAATGTGTGTGCGTGCAGCGCAGTGCAGGCCCGTGTGTGTGTGCGTGAGTGTGCAGCAGTCAGGACTCTGTGCGTGCGTGCAGCAGAGTCAGGGCTGTGTGTTTGTGCGTGCAGGACAGCCAGGGGTGCGTGTGTGTCAGTCACAGGGATGGCCCCTGGTGTGTGGGTGTCAGAGCAGTGTCCCCTGGAGGGTGTGTGTGGGGGGGGGGGTATGTTTGTGTGTATGTAGCACAGTCAGGGCCGTTTGTGTGTGAGCATTGACCCTGGAGAAGGGTGTGTGTGTGTGTGTGTCCCTGGAAGGGGTGTGTAGCACAGCGGCAGCCCCTGGCGGGGAGGGTGTGTGTGTGTGTGGAGATGTGTATGTATGTGCGAGTCGCAGGGACGGCCCCCGTGGGGTACGCGCGTGTTTGTGTCACAGCGATGGCCGCGCGGGGGGGAGGGGGGCGCGTGTCGCAGCAACCGTGCCG